TTGTGTTTTTCTATGTAGTAGTTAGGAGTATCTGTAGTTACTTGTGTGCGTTGAGGCCAATTTTCTTTGTGGGAAAGTTTGCTGGATGTTCGTGTGTTTTTATTACGATAAATAGTGTAAGTATTTGGTTGTTTGTCAAGCAATTCTCATATTTTTCAGATTTTAGTGTACAGCAATTTTGTTTGTAAATCTTATTTGAATCCAATTTATGTTACTGTGTAATAAATTATTGTTGCTGTATAAATAGAAATTTTTTTTTGTATTGTTAATGTTAAAGTATATGAGTATATCGGTTCCTAAAGAAAACTTTTAAGCCAAAGCAAGCTATTTGTAGTAAGAGGAAGTTCTCTTATCTGGAGCTTGTACACTATATTAGTCAAAGTTTTTAAAACTAACAAAAATTATTCTTTGAAAACGTTTTGTGCTGTTACTATGTTTAGAGGTAAAATTTTCCTTTTAAAATACATATTTTTGTTGAATAGTTTTGATTGTCTAAAGATTTGGAACTTTATATATGATCTTGGGAACTGTTTAATGGTGGACAGCTCGTTCTTCGTCTACCTTCTGGTGCTGTGTAAGAAGTTTGTGAAACAGGTTGATTGCATGGATGTTTAAACTTTAATTTTATTACAGACTTTGAGATGTAATTTAATACTTTTGCTAGCAAAAGAATAGTTTTTTAATATAATATTGGTAATTTAGATATTTTTGTGATGACATTTTGATATATAATTTTGTACGCAAACGGATTATCAAAAAATTAGATGAGATGAGAAATGCCTTCTCTAAAATCCCGTGACCACGTGGGCTTACATGGGCTTAATTGCCAAGTTTTTGTTTTTTTTGGTCAACCGATTTGATTTATATTAAAAGCAATGGTAGGAAGCCACATACATGACACGTACAGAATACGTGTTACAAGATAAAACACAAAATACAGCACATATACACGTGTCTAAATATCAGTGGATCAATAACCACTTTGTCTTTGTAGTTCCTTTGCCGGAATTTTCTGCCGGCAATCTCTAGTCTTCAGTACACCAGAGAAGCTTCAAAGTACCAGCACTTGTTCCACACACTGAAAGTATTCATTGGCTCTACGGACCTCATCGGAGCTTCTAAAACTGGAATAGATGGTGGGTCTTAGAAACAGAATATTTGCCAAGACGTCAAATGACCTCGGCTCTACTTATTCCGATCAAGAACCGCCACACATATTCTAACATCTTGTTTCTTCTTTGATCAAGAAACTTCACTTACACATCCAAACTTTTCATTGGAAAGTGAAGAAAGAATTACTCTTGATTTATAGTAGATCCAATGCTCAGACAGACCAACCAGCCAATAAAACTTCCAGAATTGAAAATCGGAAATCTCATCCAAAAGGCAAAGCTTTATTAATCCAACCCAAAATCACAGTATAAGAACATGAAGAACATATCTGATTTTGGACTGAAACACACAAAAAAAATTCGCCAAAGCGAAGAAAACTATCCGCTACGGAAAATAAAAGTCGATCTTATCAATTGAAAATATTTCACAACAAAAAAACGATCTCTCTCAGTAACTCTCTTCCTCTGAAAGATGGGTATGTGGTAAGAGGATGTGAGAGTTTTATCTCTCTAAAAAGAGAGAGAGAAGTCAGACCTTCTTATTTGCCAAGTTTAAACGTAGCCCAAAAGAAGAAAACTTTGTAAAATGAAATTCACGCGCTAAATAAAGAGTTACGCGCGCAAGAAAACGAAATACGTGATATACACGACTACCACCGTAGTGCGACACGTGGCAAGAAAACCCCCACTCTACAAAGCGACGTGGACAGCCTAAACAGGCAGATAACTCAACTTTATTTATAAAGATATATGTATGTCAAATGTATTTGCAAATCTACCCAAAACTAAAACCAAGTACAAATTAATAAAACACCTAAAACTAAGATACTTAAATGTATGAAATCATATTTAGATTCATTAACGTGTTTAAAGCAACAAGGAATTAGATGTCTGAAATCTATTATATTAAAAGAGAAGTCATGACTCACTTCATGTGTGATATTTTAAAATGGATCATTTATTAGAATTTTTCACATAACATTATTCAGTTATTAATTAATCTATTATATTAAAAGAAAAGTCATGACTCACTTCATGTGTGATATTTTAAAATGGATCATCTATTAGAATTTTTCACATAACATTATTCAGTTATTAATTAATAAACTTAAAATTAGTACCTTTGGGCTTACCTAATTTTTTTATTGGACTAACAACAATTGGATAACCAATTGAATTTATAAATAGTAAAATAAAACACATGTTTAAATTAAATAGATATATAATTTAGTGTTGTAAAGTATACCTTCATAACTTAATTATTTATATATCTGTCGATGTTAACTTTCAAAATCATATAGTTTATTTTTTTAAATAACAAAATACATCCTTTTCTAACAATGATTAATCTATACTATCTTAAACCAATGAAAACATTTTTAAGTTATATAGTTTATTTAAAATAAAAATAAAAATAAATATAAAAACTAATTGTCTAATTATTTACTCCATAATATGAAGCTAAAAGTTTTATTTTTGTTAAACTTTCTAAATTCCAGAAATGTTACAATATCTTTAAAGATGAGAGTAAAACAATATTTTACCAATCTTTACATATATTTACGACTTCAATAATAAAATAATAATCCAAAACAATATATATATATATATATATAAGAATATACAAATACATGTAAAGATTTGAAACAAAATATTCGATGAAAAATTAAATATATGATAAAATTATTATCTTTTAAAAATTGATATACACACCTCATATCTATGTAAAAATTAATTAAGTTGGACCTACATAATACATAAACAAAATTTTGGGATATTGTTAAAAGTATTTTACATAATTTTAATTTTTTTTTATAAATAAAAAATGAATTAAATTTTAATTAAATTTTCTGATAATTAAAATTTTAATCAAATAAGTTTTGAAACTATATCTTGAAAAAGATTCTAAAAGATTTTTAAAAGATTTTGTTAGAATTTTCTTAAAACTATTTATTTGTATTTCAAACAAAAATTAAAGAAATGAAAAGATATTATAATGTTATGTAAAATTTTATAAAACTCTAAAGAGGGTCCAAACTAAAATATCACACATGAAGTGAGTCATGACTTCTTTTTTAATATAATAGATGAAAATAGACATCCGCGCGGTTGCGCGGCTCGAGATCTAGTATTAATTAAATTTCGTCAAGAACAGTTTGGCCGTATGATTCATGATTGCTAATGCAATAAGTAATTTTGTGTTTATTTAATATTATAACTAAGAACATTAAATATTTTAACTTATAGCATTCGTACGTTATGTTAATTTAAATATGTTTATGTAATAAAAGGTAAAATTTTAACCAAATTTTATTAAAATTTTACTTACAATTACATACAAATCTTTAAATTAACATAAAATTATATATTAATACAGTATAAGTGATAACTATAATAACTATTTTAGAATCATCATTTTACAGTAGCCTAACTAAATTTAAGTTGAAAAAATGAGATTTTTGTAATATATCGAAATATAAGCAAATCACAAATAGTTATTAACGGTTTAGAAAATTGTAACTGATAAAGCCAAAGACTAAAAATTGTTTGTGTAGTGATAACAAGTAAAGTGACACTACAAATTCATGTGTTTTCAGACATTCGCACAATGTTTTTGACTTAGGTAACACAAAGTAGATACTATTTGTTTGTTTGTTTTTGACGACGTACACATTTTTTATTCTGATAGTTATGTTTATCATTTATTGTGAAAGTCACATGTCATATTTGTGGATTCCTAAAAGCACTTCCATTTTTAAAAACTCAAAAGAATTCTAAGAATTTCGTTTTGTACTTTATCATAAACTGATCACATACTTAAAGTTTAATCAGACATAAAAGATTGAATCTTCCACTGATAGACAGGTGTTTTTTTTTTTTGAAACACTGACAGGTGTTTTCTAAAAATATTCTCAGTGGATAGTATCTTCAAATGAGTATCTCAAATACAAAATATATCATTATTTAAAATATTTGTAATACATAATTAAATTTTACAAAGATAAAATTAGTATTAACAAATGGCTCAAAAAATCTATAGAGTATTTCATGAATTCTCATTTAATATAACTTCAAAACAGTCTACTTTTGTAAATTTTTAGAGATACTATAGAATCTCTATAAACTAATATTCGATTGATTAATAATTTTTATAGATTAATAAATTTTGTCGGACTTGTGCCGGTTCAAATTTGACACAAATCGATAAAAATAATAAGATAATATTTTTTTAGAAAATTTTATATAAATATATTGTCCCACTAAAATTGTAAATTAACAATTATCTGTATATATACTTTATATAAATAATAACCTATCATTATATTGTTTGTTTTATATTCACAATGAAATTATATTTATATTTTTTAATACTTAATATATTTTCGATGAGATTTAGTAATATTAAATCTAAAACAACCTTAAATTCTATGCAATATATATTATATACATCAAATAATATAACAAAAATAATAATTAATGTCTATACACTAAAATCAAATATTTTTATTTTTAAATAAATATATTTTAAAATAAAAATTATAAATAAAAGAACTTTTATAAATTAATATCTCTATAAATTAATAAAATTTGAAAGTCTTAACATTATTAATTTATAAAGGTTGTACTGTACCTTTCTATAAACTTTAGCTTTAGAAAAAGACACAGAAAAACATTAGCGTTGGAGATACTCTTTAAAGATTTAGCATTTAAGAAACTCTTTTACTCTTTATTTTTTATTTTTATAATCACAAGATACTGTTTAGATACATCTAACAATTTCAACAACACATGTTCAAACTATAACAGCAGAAAAATTATTTATTTAATCAAAGTGAAGGTTGTTGTTGTCAGACAATCATTGAGACTTGAGAAGCAGCGCAAACCTTCATGTGGAACGTTGAGATATTAATCATAGCTTTAGTGGTTGTGAGGATCAGCCAGTGGTTGTACCGATGGTCGAACCCAAACGTCAGGTGCAATGGCAAGTTACCGCCAGGTTCAATGGGTTTTCCGATCATTGGAGAGACAATTGAATTCTTTAAGCCTTCTGGATTGCTCGAGATCCCATCCTTTTTTCAGAATAGGATGCAAAGGTCAGATTCTAGCCCCTCATTAAATACACATATATATATATATATATATATCCCCTATATATTAATTGAGAAACATTTGAAAAAGATGTAACCTCAAGTTTGTATTAATTAAAAAGTAACCTTGCTTAGTTGTCAATCAATTAGCATATCAATTAAACTGACGTGGCGGCTTTAGGTTCAATTGAAATTTGCTAGGAAAAAATAATTAGAGACGCATATAACGCATGTAACATAGTTTATATATTTATATATATCGCACACATGTAATGGAAGAAAAGG